CAGCTCAAAACAACGACTCTTGGAGTGTCCCGTCAGGCCATAGTGTGGGCACTTACCTTGTGGACGATCCCGGCTTGTTTGGCTCGACCGAGTTGATCCAAGCCGGTTTTGTACCCCTTCTCGGTTCGACCCACTAGATGATCCACGGGCCCTTGCTGCCATGACAGCAGACTCCCCCTTGTCAACCTCTGTCTTTATTGCTTCCTTTCGATCGGCTTCTCGACGAACATAGGCATAAGAAGCCTGCAGGCCAAGTGGGGGATCCTTCCGCAGCACTTCTCCACGCACCTAATCAAACCCATCATCGAGACCACCAAGAAACACATAGACCCGTTGTCTCTCAGTGGATTTCTGAAACACTTTGATGTCATTCTCACACTCTATGGATACTTTATTAAAGTGATCCAATTCTTGGAAGATCTCAGTGAGCTCCCCAAAATAGGTAGCTAAGGGTCGGCCATTCTGACGTAGACGGGATGCCTTTTGATTCAACGAATAAATTCTAGCCTCATCATTCTCATCAAAGTAGGCTGCCTTCAAGGAGTCCCAAATCTCCTTCGATGTAGACAACCGAATGTACCGTTTCATAATCTCGGGCTTCATTGAAGACAAAAGCCAACTCTTAATTTTTTGATCTTCAGAAAACCAATCATCATATTTAGGATCGTCTTCGCTAGGTGCCTTGATAGACCTACGAAGATATCCCATCTTCTTCCTTCCAGCAATATGAATTTGAATGAGGGGAGCCCATAAATCATAGTTCTTTTCATCCAAAACCGTACCAATATTAAAGCTTGAATTCTCTGACTGCACCATAATTGGAGCAGCCACTGAAACAATCTGTGAACCAGCCCCCTTTTCTTCAGCCATCTCTCTGTTGCTTCGGTGTTGACTGACACAAACTAGGCAGAGAAAAAAACAGCAGCGGTGATGGGACCTAGAACACGTTGGACAAATCAACAGGGCAGCAACACCCTATCTGGTGCTCGCTGCAATCGGTCAGGGCAGCAACACCTTCTCTGGTGCTCGCTGCAATCAGTCAGGGAACGGGCAGAAACAACCCTAAAGTTGCTCGCTGCAATGGATCAGGTATACGGCAGGAAAAAAAATTTAGGGTTCAGTGTTTTTCTAACCCGGCTCTGGTGCCAAGAAGAAAGAATGCCTTTCAATGATAATTTTATTTCATATCAAAACAAGGTATATATACAACCCTATACAGATATGGGAAAGAATAATTATATCCTAAACTAGGAAACCAATTACAGTAAGAATCCCACAATTATAGGAATCCTAATACAAGTCAACAAAATCGTGGCATGCAGGCAGACGATCATACCTAACTCAGAGCATGGTGTAGTGGCCAACATTCGTGAAATGGGGTTTAATTATTATTTATCGGGAGAAGTCCCTAAATTTGTTGGTGGAAGTGTTGTGGATTTTCTGACTAAAACTTTTGAAAAGGTTGACGGAAAGAATAAGGACTGGAACTCCTTGTTTTTCAGTGTGCACCCTGGTGGGCCCGCCATTGTAGACTAGGTGGAGAAGCAATTGGGTTTGAAGGAAGGGAAGCTTAGGGCTACAAGGCATGTGTTGAGTGAGTATAGCAACATGGGAGCTCCATCGGTGCACTTTATTTTGGATGAGATGAGAAATAAGTCGATTGGGGAAGGTAAAGCCACAACTGGTAAAGGTTTAGAATGAGGTGTCGTGATTGGAATCGGACCGGGACTCACTGTCGAGATAGCCATAATGAGTAGTGAATCTATTACATACTAAATACTTGCATGGAACGGTGTACATTGATTGTGTATGCGAGAGAGTATAATTTGGAGGGCTTTGTTTGTTCCTCTTTTTTCTATGTAGTCTGTTGCTTTGTCTGTTCTTGCTTTTTCTGTCCATGTCTATGTCTGTTAAAAAAAATGTTTGTTGCTTTTGCATGAGGTAGAAGTAGCTTGTCGCCGCTGAACTTTTGCCAGCAACTACTGGAGTGACAGCCATGTAGGAACCAAAACGGAAGAGGATTTACAAAGAGTCACGCACAACCAAAATATCCCCACAAAAAAAAAATCCACAACAAAAATCAATCCTTCGAGCCCTGCAATTGACCAAGCGATCTAGATCCATACCCCCAACCACCACACTTATGAGAAGAGAACCAAGTTGACACAACACGGATGTGGGGAGGGCCAAGGGGATGTGTAAAACACCCTTACTGAGACGGGGCCGCATGACACTAGCCCAAATTTCTCGGCATGTTGTGTTGAAGCAAAGTGCAGTGGGGTAGAGATCTACATCCCAAATCGAGTTCAAAACTTGAATATCTGATTTTTGGTAGGGATCGAAACTTCAACTTTCATTGAACAAGGAAAGCATATACAAATTCTTTAATGATCTAAGTTACGATTGATAGTTATAAAGCTTATCTCCCAACTCAACCAACCGACTGACAACAAACAACTAACTATGGTTTACAATAACCCAACTAACAATTAACCGAGGTTACATATATTGACAAACTTAACCCACAGTAAGACAAATACAAGTAAAAGTAACTAATATTGACATACCAATAAAGAAATGCCATCTAGTATCCTAACAATCCAATGATATTTTTTAACACATGTTATATTTATTTTAAAAAAATAGTGGATATGTTATTAATTTTTCTTGAACTTTAGAAAACAAAAAATATATAACATATTTTTATTGGGTCAAATTTGAAAGTGAGTACGTAAAATACTTGAGTATTATCTATTTCTTCAAGTCTAACTTCCCCATACAAATTCATCAATGAAATCAAAAGCAGGGCAAGATAGTGAACTGGAGCCAAGACTCACGAGTGTGCAGCCATATGTTTAAAACTTGAAGTTGCTCCTCTACTTATGAATCGAGATGTTTTTCAATATCTTACAGTCTAGAGTCGATGAATTGAAAATTTTTGAATCGCTCATTTAAATCTTATGACCTCGTTACTACATTTCACTAGTCCACTTTGCACAAATTTAGGGTTCATATTTTTCTCTTCCTCACTTGAACGATGTAGATCTGTCCGTCGGTTTGGAACTGCGAGATATAGAGAATCTGAACTCCTATACTACCGGAGAGACAGGTCGCAGGGATTTTAACTTGACACGTGTGATAATATCATTGGGCCGAATAAAATTTTGTGTTTTATTTAGTACACAAGCGATCCGAATCACTGAAGTCTACTTTGTTGTTCTTCCTGGGGATCTGCCAGCCTGCCACCACAAATCCCCTCTCCCCTAATCGCCGATCGTCCCCAACTACTCCGGCTATTTCTCCGATAAGGTACGCCTCTCATACATATCTGACGTCATCGTCATCCTTTTCGTCGTCATGGTAGTTCGGTTGTGGGATTTTGGGAATTAGGGTTAGGGCTACGCTATGCCGTCTGTCTGAATTAGATGAATGTTCATATCGAAAAATTGATTTGTTTTTCGAGTGATTATTTCACTTTTCAATTGTTTTACTAAACCCTAAACCCTAATATTTGACTGATGAAATTACTGTAATTTGATTATTATCAATTGGAATATAGTATTACTTTCTCTGAGTTAATTGAAGAATATTTGCAGAAATGTTTGAGGTTATTGAAAATTAATTGTAGAAATGTTATAGATTATTGAAAAATGTTTGGAATTAGGGTTATAGAAATGCTTGAGATTAATAATGAAGCATCGTCTTGGCTGAGATTTTAGTAGCAAAGTTCGATCATTTGAAACAAGAAACTATTTAGATCTAAAACATGATAAGAGCTTTAAATCATGTAAAGTGGGGTTATGTAAAATAGTTTTTCGGTGCAGGATCGGAAGTTTCTAAGTAGGTTTGGCAGATTGACTTTGAAATCGTTATGTTTGTAATATACCATACTCTGTATCTTGTCATTGTTGGAATCTCGTCGTCTCTTTTTTTTCTTTTTCTTATTGTTGTTCTGACTTTGCAGAGATTGTAAGAATGGCTTCGTTCCGAGCATTCTTGAACAGTCCAGTTGGTCCAAAAACAACTCACTTTTGGGGACCTGTTGCGAACTGGGGATTTGTTGCTGCTGTATGCTTCAGCCCTATGATTTCTTGCATAGAATGTATTTGAATTGAAATGAAATTCATGCATTTGTGACTAATTTGATCATACGGGTTTGATTTAATAGGGATTGGCGGATATGAACAAACCTCCAGAAATGATTTCTGGCAACATGACAGCAGGTCCAAAATAACTGGTTTTGAAAGATGTAGCTTAGTTTCAGTATCTAGTATGTGGCAGGATTATAACCGGGTTTGAATTTGTTTCTGCAGCAATGTGCGTTTATTCAGCATTGTTTATGAGATTCGCATGGATGGTACAACCTCGCAACTATCTTCTTTTGGCATGCCATGTCTCAAATGAGACTGTCCAACTCTATCAGCTCTCTCGCTGGGCGAGGGGTCAGGGGTAAGTAGCTAACTGGTCTCGTCATCAATTTCAGAAAATCAATAATATATCTGTATTCAATGTAGTTGAGTTGTCAATTGCCATAACTTCTGACCTTCTGTGTCAAAATGAGTTAGCCTAAAACGCGCGGGGTTTGTTCTTGTTTACTTGCTTTATGATAGGTACTTGGCCCCGAAGAAAGATGAAGCTGCATCCGAGTGATTTGCTGCTGCTTTCATTCCCTTGCTCGTTCATTGTTTTTGTTGTGATTTTTACCGAAAACAGTGTTGCTCTCGTTTAGGACGCATATGATACAGTTTGCTTTTGATATTACCTGAGCATGTGGCCTTTTTTTGTTCATAATTGGTTGTTTTTAGTCAATTGTGTACCAGATGTCTCAAGCATAAACCAGTCGCTACTCGTTTCGACGGTGACGTTTGAAAGTAATAAGGAATTTCACGATGATGAATTCTAAGGCACTGAATTTTGGTTCCGAACTTCAGATAGTGAGGACTGATAACTTGCACTTTCATTGCAGCAGACCATCAGAAAATCACTTGCTACCCGAAAAATAGGTTAAAGCAATTATCTTTGGATGCAAAAACTAATTTCGTTATAAGTTTAACACCAATCTGATTAAATAGCAAATGTACCGGCTCCCGAAAGAGACGATTTACAACATTGTCAAAGTTTTCCTATCAAAATTTTGTCAGGCAGCAGAGGCCGAACATGCTCCACCCTTTTAAGCGTGTTCGGCCTTTCTTCCCAGTTACGTGAACATATACCACGTCCTTCGGCCCCAACGGGATCACGATGTGCTATCAACATCTTCACGTTTTAGCCTTTTGCTACTTTTTTTCGATTTCAACTTCTTGCATCCACTCTCTTCAGAAGCTTCCTTCTCGCTTCCTTTATTTTCCTTGGACTTCTGCCTTTTCACAGGTGGTGTTTCACCGTCATCTCTCCTACCCAAACTGGATACTTCTTCCTTGTTTCTGCCTTTTGCTTTGGCTTCCTTCTTGCTTCCATTCTTTTCCTTAGATTTCTTCTTTTTCACAGGTCGTGTTTCCCCCTCATCTCTCTCAGCAACACTAAGCTCATCATGCTGTAGCCGATCGGTTGGGGGATTGACAATTTCTGCTTCTGCAGAATAGAAGGGAAAGCTTGTTGACAAAGTTTGGGAAAAAGTTACATGATATCACTACTTTCAGATATAGGAAATAGGAAAACACACCTTCATCGGCAAAATTGGAGTCAAAAAGAACGTTTGACAAGTGCTGCTTCAGGTAAACCTGCACCATTCAACAACAACAATTGGTCTAAAAGAATTGCAAAGTGAAGGGCATACATCATTCTTACTCGAGTATGCAAGAAACAATGAAATTTGGAGCCTATGTAATTATAAACATAAGACGTCATCAGGCAGGCTGGCCAATAGCCAGCTTTTATAACTTAAAAACAATAAAGTACAGTAACATACCGCAGATAGTAATTGCCGCGTCTTCACATTCCAAAGGCGTAGGTAGCTATCCAATCCTAGAAGAAAGAATTTGAGGTCAGTGCATATACAGACATTTTTGGTTTCCAAATAGTACTAACTACACCAATATAGCTTAATGCGTGAGAGAGAGAGAGCACTAGTTTTGATATTGAAAACAGAAACCGTGCACTTACCACATGATGCTATCACTGGAAAGTCGGGGTGCCTTGCAATGGATCTTATACTACCTGAACACTTGCCCAAAAAGCATCCTAACAATTTCCCTGTAGTGAAACACAGCATTAATAGTCAGAAAAGAAAGATTACAGAGTAGCAAAAACAACATCAAGAAGTCTATACTATCGTTATATGTTTCCAGGGGGCAACACACAACCATTTTATGCCTATCCATAACACCAATAATGCCCTCAAATAGTGCAAAGGGACTTCCGCAGTGTACATTCCTGACACAGGCAGTTGGTACACCAGTCATTCCATAATTTAGGTAGCAAGTACCATGCTCAACAGATGGCTATTTCTAACATCTAAATTTCTAATCATGCCCAAATGGGCCAAATCCATAACTCAACTATTTTTGCCAATTCAATTCAATTCAAATTGTTCTTAATTTGATTGATGGTACAGAATTCCTACAAGGTCTAATCTGACCCCACCACTTATCAGAATGTTCTAATAAGGTCAATGCACCTGTGCGTATGTCAAAAGAAGCTAGGTCGCCAGATCCATTCCCTACATAGATTGTGTAGCCATCTATATCTTCCGCTACAGATTTAATAGCAGTCTCCTGAAAATCAAATGATATGACAGGTCTTCGCTGAGCAGAAATGTCATAGAGACGAACCTGTTGAAAAAAAGAGTCATAAGGTGCCAAGAGAATCCTTTTCGCATGAGCTACCAAGGAGTAGACATTCACTAAACTTCTAAAACAAAAGTAAACATCATAAGATTCCAACTATAATTAACTTTATGTATAAACTGTTCATCTTTCAAGGGAATGAAGAGCTTCTAATATAATTAACAACTTGAAGCATTCTTACAGAGTAAAGGGAGCACTTTCCACAGGTAGTTTATTCCCAGCTGAAAACAACAACAAAATCAATCCTACTTAGGAGATTATTACCTCATGACTGTTGGTGCCAGCAACAAATTTACGATGATCATCTTTACTCAAAAATGTGGCAGATGTGAACCAAGTTGGCGTAAAGATGCCAAGGCTGTTTTTAGGAGGCTGCTCAGGGTAAAAAATGAGAATAAACGTCGGATATACTGATTGTAAAACACAAGAGTATATGTATCGGTTTCTTCAAGATATAATGATAGAAGATAGAAATTCTCACAGGTTTGGCTGTCCAAATCTTGGCACAGCTGTCAAGATCCCAGACATTCATCTCAACACGCTTCCTGAATGTGAAAATAATAAGGTCGCCGCTTAGACCAATATTCTAGTGATGACAATCTTTGTTTAATGAAGACAAGTAGATTTTAAACTTCCTAGAAAAAGTTACTCAACATCAGAACTCACCCTCCAAATAAGAAATAGTTTTCACTCCCATCCACTTTAGAACATGAGATACTGCCACCGGCACCCACACTCCATGTTCTTGAAGACCCAGAAGAAGTAACATCTGCTGCTGGTTTAGTCAATTCAAAGGATTTTATGTTTGCATTTCCATTTGTTGTACATGTAAGCAAAGTGCAAGACCTAGCAGAAAATAATTTAAAAAATATCAGCAACTGTATGCATAGAGGGATAACTCCACTGATTTCAATAACATTGACATAAGAATATATAGACGAACTTGAGACGCCCCTCATTGGTTAAAGCTTAAGAAAAGTTGGTTTTCAGGGGACATTTATATAGGTTGGTATACATGCTAACAATTGAACTAAAATGAAAAACAAACAACTGAAACATGCAAGAGGGATCCGTTGGTACACGTATGATTAGCATTCCACAAACCAGTGCACCAGAAAGTGGACCTATACAATCTAAGTGTAATGCCACACACTCAAAATTGGAGTAAAAAAGAATATTAGAAAATTAGTTAACCTAAAATTGAACACCCAAGCATACCCAACCCCGAGCATCCTAAAATGATATAGTAATCTAAATTTATTAGAAATTCCAGCAATCAACTTATGTCGCAAACAAAAACTTTGGGATTGTAAGGTATCTCATTGTTGTTGGTATTGGCAGAAAACCAGGAAATCACAGAAGTCATCTCACCTAGAAGCCAATTCCAAATTCTTTTTGGCAAACAAATGTAATCCAGCAACAGGGTCGTCCCCACCGTTATCACTAGAATTGGTGACTGCGAAGCGGAGACCACCATTAAGAGGATTTAGAACCTCAATCTGTAAGACATACAAGCACACAACAGTTATCAGCCCCTGTAACTAATAACACGGAAACCCCGAATTGCTCCCACATATTCATAGTCCAAAGACGCCACTCACCGTCCCATTTCTTCTGGCAACAGCTAGTAACTGCAACATTACAAAAAGGGGAAATTTTAATCACTCCCTTCTTTCACATTTTTACCTCAAAAAACACAGAGCATAAAGCATATTCCCAACACACGAGTGATAAAACTGCAGTCTTTCAATAAACCAAAACGCATTGCATACACCCTTTATGATTTCGAACGCAAAAAACAAACAGAGGAACTGATACCGGGTCGGATTTTCGGTCATCGATAGAGGCGGCGAGCACGCTTTTAGACGAATCGGGCTCGCCCCATCTCTCAACCACCTTAGGTTCTGCTCTTCCTTGCTGACCCCGAGCTTCAATAACTAGAAAAGAAAAAAAAGGAAGAGAAAATTGAGTTTTATACATTTAGCAAAAGAATTAGCCGTTGATGCTGGTTGATTAAGAAAAGAGCAGGAGAAGATTTACCTTTGATGAGACCAAGCTCGTCGAAGGTTAGAGCTCGAAGTGGAGGGCAACCTGGGCACTCGAGAGTGGTCGTACGAGGCATGCTGGTTTTCTTTGTTTCTCTGCTTCTAACTCCTCGCACACAGATGGGAGAAAGACAGAAATCCCTTAAACCCTAGCTTTTCAATAAAATGCTTTTTGGTACCCTTGTTTTTAGGTAATTCTCTTTCTGCCCCATGTTTTACCATTGTTTTACTTTTTAGTTCACTTATTATTATTATTATGTTATAAAATCGACGATGTGTAGTGGAATAAATAAAATAAGACACAAAATTTACAAGGTTCGTCTACAATTAGTGTGACTAGAGTACGTCCTCGAGCCAGCAATGGTGCTTTCATTATAAATTAGAATTATCATTAATTATCATTATTATTATTATTATTATTATCATTATTATTATTATTATTATTATTATTATTATTATTATTATTATTATTATTATTATTATTATTATCTCTTTCCCCATGCTTTACTATATTATTATTATTATTATTATTATTATTATTATTATTATTATTATTATTATTATTCATCACAAGTAGGTATTTGAGATCTTATATGGAACTTACTGTTCGGCGTTAAAGACCAGCAAATCTGAATCATTCAAAAGAGGTAGAGAAAGATTTGGGGCCTTGGTTTAGTGAGGTGGCCAACAAAATGAGTTAATTGGAATCGTCAAATTATCAATTTGTTGGTCTTTTAACTCTGGACAAAGAGATGCGGAGAGAATCTCAACTTTTTGTATACAACTACTATCCTAATTCCTAGAATTCTAAGAGACATTACAACACTACCAACACTTCGTAAATGATCAAAGCATAGTAAAATTTTCTAGACTTGGGAGCAGCCTCTCCATAAATGGGGGTAAGGCTAGCCGACATTCACCTCTCCCAGACCCTGCGTAAAGCGGGAGCCTTGTGCACTGGGTACGACCTTTTTTTTGACTTTGGGATATCACGACTCACAGTAGTTTTAATTTCTCAAATCACATGTAGCTAAAATTCGTAGTCAAAACTAGAGAGCCAAAACATTAATATTCATAACTAATACCGCCATTGTGGCATCGTGTACCACGAAAGTCTGTATCCACAAAAAAGAAACAAAAAAAGCACTAAAATATCAAGGTCTTCAATCAAAACATGAATTTCAAACTCTAACACAAGAAAATGTCTACATATACAAGTAATACCCAAATAATGCCACTTAGTATTAGGGTCTAGTGATATTCTTCTTCACTTGGTATTCATGTTGACTTATAAGTGAGAGGTCTTTGGTTCGATTATCGCCAAAGGCGAATTTGAACCACATTATTACTAGCCCATTATGACGCCGAGCACAAAATACCCAAATAATGTGGGCATTAAAAATAGGAAATTGTTGTAAGCCTATTTGATTGAACTAATCTAAGGGATTAGAGAGATAGGGAGCCGGCGGTATTGAGGGAGAAGAGAGAGTGATTTAATTGTGAGGTGTGTTTGTATCACCCCATTGTGCCTTTATTTATAGTAGTAGGATAGACAAAAACCTTACCCTTTATTATTACAACTTTTAATAGGCAATCAACTCCTAATAGGAATATAAGATACATTCCTATATCTACTAGGATTTACATAATCATATTCCTATTCTAAATATGATTGCAACACTTCCCCTTGAGTGCGTAAATACTTAACAAATCATTGCATCAGATCTTCAGCATATAAGGTAGAATAGTTGATGAAGCCATCGACACAACGGGTGAACGCAAGTCTCAAATTTAAGAGAGTATGCATTGGTAGTAAAACTCACAAACCTCGCTATGGTAAAACCCAAGGTATAGGGAAAAAGCCATATGGTAAGGAGAAAAGTGAGAAGTATGTATAATATCTAAAACAAACGTTAGACAGGACGAAAGTAGTGAACTCAAAGGAGTATGATCATCCCAGGATGGGTGCCTCACCAAAACCTCTTTAGGTAGCAAAAACCCAATGGGAAAAATGCTCCTAATCGTAGGAAAAAGAGTACATTAAGATTAAGTGAGTATGCTTCAAGTACTCCCCCTGAGTTAGACATAACTTCAAAATAAGATAACTACAAGCAATTCAATTCAAATAATTTATGCATAACAATTTCATGGACGAGCTTCTGAAAAGTAGACTTGGGTAATAACTTGGTGAAGAGATCGGCCAGGTTATCCTGGGAACGGATTTGATTGACTTCAATGTTCTGATGTTACTACTAGTGGTGTGAGTAAACGAATTTTGGCGCTATGTGCTTGGTGTTGTCTCTTTTGATGTATCCCTTCTTTAATTGCTCGACATATGCTGCATTGTCTTCAAAGATCGTCATAGGAAAGTTAACGACGGAAGTAAAACTATTAATGCTTCGAATATGTTCCATAACTATTCTCAACCAAAAACACTTGTGCAATGCTTCATGTAAAGCAAGAATCTCAGCATGGTTCGAAAAAGTCGCAACTAGCGTTTGCTTGGTAGACCTCCAAGATATAGCGATGTCTCCAATATTAAAGACATAACCCGTTTGAGAACGTGCCATATATGGGTCAAACAGATATCCAACATTTGTGTAACCAACAAGGCGAAAATCAATTTAAGGACCATAGGGGGCGGCAACACTTGAAGATTCGTGGGTATATAACAAGCCCAAATCCGTCGTACACTTGAGGTAGCGGAAAATGTCTTTAACACCATTCCAGTGCCTGCTTGCAAGTTCATACTGAATCTAGCCAAAAGATTAACAGCGAAAGAGATGTTGGGTATAGTGCACTAAGCCAAGTACAATAAAGCCCTAATTGCACTTAGGTAAGCAACTTCGGGTTCCAAAATCTCTTCCTCATCCTCCTTTGGATAGAAAGGGTCTCGTTTGGCATCTAGAGTCCGAACGACCATAGGTGTACTCGAAGGTTTCGCTTTATCCTCATAAAATGTCGCAATACCTTTTGGGTGTAGTTCGATTGATGTACTAGGATTCCATCCGAACAATGCTCGATCTCCAAGCCGAGACAATATTGAGTTTTCCTAAGATCCTTCATCTCAAATTCCGATTTCAAGTGCATAGCAATTTCCTCAAGCTCTGTAGGAGTCCCGATGAAGTTCATGTCGTCGACAAAAACTGCAACGATTGCAAATCTGGAATGTGACTCCTTTATGAACACACATGAGCATAATTCGTTGTTCACATAACCCTGACTTGTCAAATATTCACTCAGACGATTATACCACATTCGTCCGAATTGTTTCAATCTGTAAAGTGACCTCATCAACCTAATTGAGAGAGTATTCCATGGTCTAAAACTATTTGAACCAGTCAGTGGAAGTTATTCTGGAACTTTCATGTAGATTTTCGTATCTAGAATCCCCATAGAGATACGCAGTTACCACATCTATAAGCTGCATATTCAGTTTTTTCAGAAACTACCAAACTGATTAGGTAGCGGAACGTCCATTACGGAGGAATACACTTCCTTGTAATCAATCTCAGGGCGTTAAGAGAAGCCTTGCGCTACAAAGCGTGCTTTGTATCGCACTATTTCATTCTTCTCATTACATTTCCTCACGAAAACCCACTTGTAGCCAACAGGCTTCACATGTAGTGGTGTAAGAATAATAGGTCTAAACACTTTACATTTCACGAGCGAATCGAGTTTGACCTAGATTGATTGTTTCCAGTTTGACTAATCGGTTATACGTTGGCATTCATTAACGAAACGTGGTTCAATGTCATTGCTAAGCATGATGTCAGTAGCTACTATGTATGCAAATGCATCATCGACGATCATCTCATTCTGATTCCTAACCTTATCCAATACTGCGTAATGGATCGAAATCTCACGATTCTCGGGAAGTCAAGTTGTCTCATTTAAGACATCGCCGTAATCTATAATAACCTTATGCGTTGGAACGAATAAGCGAGCGATGGTCAGATTCAAACTAGGGTCACTAGTTGGTGCCATTTTCCTCTTCCGGGGTTGTGAATCCTTTAAACCAAGGGGTCTGCCATGCTTCAGGGTCAGAGTAAATGATTGGCTAGCCGTCAATGTACCATACCGCGTGGAAGGTGCGGCCTCCCCACCTTCGGGGATGGTCTGGCCTTCACATATGAGTTATTGATGTATGCGGGGTACATCTATCCTTGCAGGTGCTTTTGCAGCGGGTATATGTGACCTTGTCACCTTAGTTAGATCATTAAAAACATCTGGCATGCTCTGAAGATCTATAATTTGTCACACTTCAGTTTTAGACTGGGTAGTACGAGGATCTAAATGAGACCTAGTGGGAGCATACCACGACAATTCACGGCGTTCTACAAGAACGTTAGCATGCTTATCTTCCCCTAACGACGGGAATATTGTCTCATTAAAGTGACAATCTACAAAACATGCGGTAAAGAGATCTCAAGGGTTCTAAATAGCGAACAATTGATGGCGAATCATAACCAACATAGATTCCCATATTTCTCTGATGACCCATTTTGGTACGTAGCGGCAGTGCTATTGGCACATAAATTGCACACCCAAACACCCATAAATGCAAGACGTCAGGCTTGTATCCAGTGACCAACTGTAACAGTGAATGTGGTTGGGTAGCGGTGGGCCTCAGGGGGACCAACATAGCTATGTGCAATATTGCATAGCCCTAGGCAGATACCAGCAGTTTGGTTTTCATAACTAAAGTCCGAGCTATCAATTAAATGCGCTTTATGAAAGCTTCTTCCAGGCCATTTTGGATGTAAACATGGGGTACAAGATGTTCCATATCAATCCCTACTGACATGAAATAATCGTCAAAAGTTTGTGACGTAAACTCTCCAGTGTTATCCAGTCGAATCGACTTAATCGAATAATCAGGATGGTGAGCCCTTAGCTTAATGATTTGTGCTAAGAGTTTTAGCAAATGCAGCGTTGCGTGTGGACAACAGACAAACATATGACCATCGTGTCGATACATCAACCAACACCATAAAATATTTAAATGGTTCGCAAGTTGGTTAAATAGGTCCACAAATATCCCCTTGAATCTTCTGCATAAACTTATGGGGGTTATGAATGATCTTTGTAATTGAGGGTTGAGTATTCAACTTCCCTAAAGAACATGCTTTGCATGGCAGGAAT